AGATTCTTGTCAAAAAGGGGATACTGTTGGAGTTTACAACAGCTGCTCATTAGTCAGAATATTTTATAGGTTAAAACCTTAACCGTTTCACACTTAATATAAAATAAAATCTCTGCGGTAATTCCAACTGTTGCTCCTTTATTTCAGGGATATAGACAGCTATAGCAGCCTATTGTATAATGAAGACAGTTGGCCTGAGGGCCTTTTGATACCAGCTGTGCTGTTTATATACATTTCAGTATAATCCTTGTGTGTATGCATCATTTCTAACACCTAGATCCCATATATGAAGTTCAAAATAAAAAATAAGCCACTTCTAGTTTGAGTGATTCACAATAAGAGAAAGAGTGGCTGAGCAAATGAAAGCTTCCTATTACTGGGCTCATATGTCTTTTGCCCAATACACTTTGTTTCCAGGCTTTTTGCAAACAAATCCTGTGTGAATTTCCTCAAACAAATCCTGTATGAAAGATGCAGAGATTCCATTATGTTAGTGAATGAATGTTTTGAGCCAGATACGGCTCCTGCTAGCTAAATACAATCTTATGTTTTGAGCCCGTAATGCTTATAAGCTACATGGAAAGTAATTGCGTAGCAGGAATTTTCTAAGGATGCCTTGCTTATTGGGTTAAGATCGCAGTATTTTCGAGTTGGCTTTTTTGGGGGGTGTAGGACTTGGCAGCAGAAAAATTAATAATCTAAAGAATAATAGCTGCCTTTGTCTGTATTAGAGCAACAACAATCTAAGGTTTCAGGTAATGTTGCAACCCATGAGTGTAAAGTATGAGCACTTTCTGAAGCCCTCAATTTCATTACTGCACAACTCGTTGATTTCATAGCTGGAGCTTGTGGCAACCTTGTGACGAAAGGATTCCCATCAAATTGAGTGCAAATGTATTTAAGCTGATGTTTAAAAGACTGAAATCCCTAAAACCCTCATTCATTCCAGCATTGGAAGTGAAACTGTGATTAGAGAACATCTGGCCTTAATATAATTTGATTTTTTTGTGGCTATTTACTCTCCATTGTCTTCACTCTGTTCTCTTCCTTTTTCTCTCCATCTCTCTCCCCCCCACCCCCCCCACCCCAGCCATTGAGTAACTGGAAAATATTGTTTAATATCATGAACCTGTGCCTGCCATCATGCCAAAAATATTGTGAATCTCCTGAACTATAGCCCGACCTTTTTCAGTCACACTCGGTCCTTTTTTTATAGTAGGTTAATGTTTTTAATATGATCTGGAGACATAAAAAGCAATATTAAGCTTCCACTTCGTAGATTCTCTGCTTTAACTCTTCCTGGTGAGAAAAAAGCAGCTTTTTATATTGAGGAAAACGAATACTTTGGGTAGGGCAGTATTTACGAGCGTGTGTGAAATATGTGGTATATAGTGTGTTATCCTGGCTCAGTTGGTAGCACTTGGCTCTGATGGTTATGGGTTCAATCCCTCTTCGGGATATGGAATCCATAGTTTTTTATTGGCTAGTTCAAAATTGGCCAAGGATTTGGAACAAGTCATTGTCTTTCAAGAATTAAACCTTTGAAAAGTATTAAATTCCAGCATGCTGTCCCAATTGTGTGCAATGAAATTAGCTTAAGTTTGGTTTGTAGATTTTGAACTTCACACTTTTCAATAAACTGTTTCCTGTAAATAAAACTATATACTTACTTTAAAACCGAGTTAACACTTGTCAAGCCTTTTATATCAAGGGAGCAGAAAAGCTGCAGAATGCATTGAGAACTTTCCTTCACAACTGTAATAATGGGAAAGACGTAAACTAGATTTTAATTAGTGGGCTGAAAAAATATTCTGGAGGTGCTTGATTGAGGAATTGTCCAAGTGGAATTTTCCCCTAGGAAGGAGCAAAGGTAGGAACGTGTGATGGGGAGCCAGGCCTGAAGGGCCTAAGCCCTTCTTGTTCTGATCTGTTCTGGTATTTTGTCCTCTCTCATTACGATTAATAGTACTTTGCTTGTACTTCATCTAACCAGGTTAAATTGGAAATGCAATTACGGAAACAAAGGGATGCCCGAGGCATGTGTCATCATGACTTGCCTATCTGTATTGATCTGCTTGCACAGAAACTTTAAGCTTGGGTATCTGTTGATGAAATCTTTAGTCTACACATAAGAAATGAGACCGACCAGCTTTGTAGAGCAGTTATACATTTGGTATATTGATCTGCTTGATGCAGAATTCAGAGTGTGGTTTATGGTTCAGAAAATCTTTGCGCTGGCAGAAAGTCTATATTTCAGAAGTGAGAGTAGCTGTTTAGAGCGGAGATATATTTGGTTTATCAGCTGGTTCCTAATGAAAACTAACTGTAGCTGATAACCAGAATACTATAAGCTTGAAACAAAGCTTACACTTAAGAATTGGGCACAATACTGCTTAAAATCTCTGGCTCAGAAGATTGTGGGCTCAAGACCAAACAGTGGGTTTTGTCCTCATTGCCCAGGCTGATATTCCAAAGCAATACTGTGGACTTAGTCTGCCTCATTGGTAGATATTGACGCAATTATTCTGTTTCTCTGAAATTTAAACTTGAAGCCTAACTGACTTGACTCTCTGGAAGAGTTTTTCTCCTTGTGGCACATACATTTGTTTTTGTGAAATAAAAATAATTGAGTGACTTAAATAAACAAAACGTTCACATTGTAGTAATAATACAGGCCATAAAGGAAATATAACTTTCCTCAATGACTGTGTGAGCCTCAAGCTCCTTACAATTGGTGAGATCTTGAACTTTTTTTTCCTTTATCTCGGGTTGTTTTGACATGTTTCAAGGAAAACAAAGAGAAATCCAAACAGAAAAAAGCAAAGAAGATATTTGTAGGTGATCAAAATCTATTAAAGGAATCAGCAGTCATGAATTAATTAATTTTTACTTTCGTTTCTCCAAAACTTTTTTAAGAAGAAGATAAGTTTGAAATTTTGTTTAATTCAACTGATCCATAAGGTTTAAAAAAGGATTGTCAAGTCTCAGTTGCTGGATGCTTATTCCCCCTTCAATGTGGCGAAGCAAAACAGCAAATGTTCTAAAGAAGAAGCAATAAGATCAAATGTCAGTCCAGATTCACTTTGTGTCAGATTCCCTCTATATTGGAGAAATCTTGTTTGCATGATGTCAGCCCGGCTTAGTTAATAGCATTCTTGCCTCTGAGTCGGAATGCTGTGGGTTCAAACCCCACATGGGGAATTTGAGTTGACACTGCAATCATTGCTGGGGAATGCTACACTATTGGTGCTATCCTTCAGATCTAACGTTAAACCGAGGTCCTGTTGTCTGCTCTGGATAGCAATTTGTTAGGTCAGGGTATTAAGGGATACGGGGCACGGGCGGGTAATTGAACTTGACGTACTTGATCTTATACAATGACGGAACAGGCTCGAGTGCCTGAATCTCGAGTGCCTGAATACTCCTGTTTCTGTGCTTTATTCGGCTAGTATGCTACTATTTGAAAAGAGAAGAGAGTTTCTCCAGATGTTATGTGGCCAACAGTCCTTCAGGTAAAATTGGTTAGTCACTTCCTGGCTGTTTGTGGGACCTCGCTGTGTAAAGACTGACTGCTTCTTTTGCCTACAAATACTGTCAATACGCTTTACAGTAAATCCAGTGAAGTGCCTTGAGATTTTTAACATGTGAAAATGCTGCATACAACACAGGAATTAGTTAACTTAAATATGCCAAAAACAAATTGAATGTACAAATGTTGATACTTAATTGTGACAATTTCTATTTTCAGTCACCATGATGGGAAATGTGCAACGGGTACACTTTAGAACGTAGAAAAAAATTTAGTTATTGCATATAAGAACAGAATGGAGATTTTCGGGGGCTACTACATTACATAATTACTTCAAGTTGTGATTGTCCAATATTGCTTTAGGGTCCTAGTGCTTTGTATCTGCACTATTCATATTTTGAGGCTATTTTCACAATCACAGTTTACAGTTTTGCTTCTGACCACCAATTTCCAGGAATGTCTAACAGACTAGTAAGCAAGACACCTCACTGTTCTTTTTATACGGTTTTGTTGAGTTGCTCAGCTTGCGGTGACCCAAAAACCTCCACTAGCAACATTGCTTCTGGAGACAGACAGTCTGTTTATCTCACTGAACTGCCACCGATGCTGGGCCTGTCAACACAACAACAAACTAAATGATTGTAAAAAGACAAGTTTGTTGCAAAAAAAAGAGTTTTTTCTCCTGGGTATTCTAATTCCCCCCCAACCACCCATTCAGGCAAATTGGCTGCTTATCTCACTACTTGTAGGGTGGTTTTCGTGCAAATTAACTGTGGCATTTTCCTAAATTAATTACATTTCTCATTATTTAAACCACTGATATAATTATTTTAAAGAGAGGCACTATAAATCTATATTCATGTACATGATTAATCAGGATTCCTATACATACAAACCATACAGGAAGTCAGCTTGAACTGGAAGCTGGGGATCAATAGTAGATTGTACTATGAGCGAGGCAGTGAGGTATCGAAGGAAGCAATAACTCTTTGTTTTCTCCTGGGTTTGGAGTAAACGGATCTATTCAACCCAAATGCAGGGGAAGTGCTCCGAGATGCTACCTCACGTGAAGGGTGCTATATAAATACAAGTTGTTTTTAAAAGGTACAAATTGAATCTGAGATAGTGCTCACAAGAGGGAAATATTTTGAAAGCTGATCTACGTAACCTTTTCTGGGGCACAGGTGTAGCGTAATAGTGGAGAGTGCTCAGCTGTTGCTGTCCGTGTTGGAGACATATTCTGAACACACATTGGCAGTGACTTTCTAGAAGTATGAAACACAAGCAGCTTTCTAGTTTGCAGCTTCTGCTGAAAGGATGTGCGGTGCATATGTGTGGAATGTAACTCATCGAGACAAGATCTTGCCACGTAATTGCAGAACTTGAGCTGCTTTCCAGATCTGCAGCAGCTCTGTGAGTTAGTGCCAGCAAAAAGGTTGAGCATGAAACTGAGCTTCACACTGATGGCTTTTATGGTTAATTTCTGAACCTAAATAATTGAAAGCAGGTGATAACTTTTAAGATCAGAAGTACAGGTTTTGCATTTCCCCTATGTCCATGCTTTGGAAATGACTTATAATGAAGAGGGCTTGCAGTAGAAGGTAGGGCCAGGATACTTGTTAAATCACACTTTTGAGAACGCCTGTGCTTTTGGCGTAGTTGCCACTTGATTATATGTTTAATGCAAGGTTTATTATGTTTAGTGCAATTGTTTTTTAAATAGTTGTAGTATTGGCCATTTCCTGTGGCTTTTCTTACTTTGAGATGGGAGGGGTTAGCATGATACCGCATCAAATAACAGATCTCTTTTTGCCCAAATTGTGAGGTGGAAATGATGGGGGTTTTATTATTATTATAATAATAATAATCCTTGCATTTGATATAGCGCCTGATACTGTTTTCAAGACGTCTCAAATCGTTTCACAGAATATACTGTAAAGTGAATTGACTGTACATTTTGTGGGCGAAACGCGGCAGCCAATTTCGCACAGCAGTGTCACACAGGCAGTCGTGGATTGAGCGACCAAATTATGTTTTGACATTTTGTTTTGAGAGTATTGATCTTTTTCAAAAAATTAATCTGTAGCTCATTAATTGAAGTGTCAAAATATTATACAATACCTTAGATGGGAATAACAGTTTTTGGTCCTTACGTGGAAGAAACTGCTGCATTTGTTCCCCTTCCACCAATTTACAATTTATATATGATGATATTAAATTTACTATCAATTGGTATTGGTGGTAAATGTATTATTTGATATACTTTTTGGTTAAAAACAAAATGCAATTGCAGGTCAGAAGATGGTTTGAATGTACAGGCTTCAAATGCATATTTTATTATCATCATATAAGATGTTTGTGCACTTTGAGACTGGAGTGGAGAAAGATTGTTGTGTGTAATTGGGAGGGTTTGGGAGCAAGGTGCAAGAGTAAGGATTGTTAATTACCGACAGTTAATATCTCAGTCGCTCTAACACTAGTCCGCTTTTTTAAATGTAGGTTATGATAGCTTTGCTTTGCTAGTGTCTATTTAGAAAAAGCATTCAAGAAACTGAGCATTTGTACAGTTATAAAAACAAAATATAAGGTAATGAGATTCAATGTTAGTATTTTGTTTCGATCACAAATCGCGATTTCTTTTGTGGTTGTGATGATGTCTGTCACGTGATCGACAACTTCGCACCTCAGTTGTTGGTTGTGGTGGTTATCCCAAGTGCCTCCCAATTATAATCCTGCATGTAATAAAACTATCAGGGTGGCATGTTTAATGATTATAATATTACACTTATGGGTCAGCCTGGCTCGCCTCTGAGTCAGAAGGTTGTGGGTTCAAGCCCCACTTGGGGATATCCAAACTGACACTCCATTGCCGTTCTGGTGGGGTGGGTGGAGTGGGGATTGTCTGAGATGCAGTCCTTCAGATGAAATGTTAAACCGGGAACCTGTCTGCTTGTTCAGGTGGACGATAAATATCCCTTGGCACTATTCGAAAAGAGAGAAGTTTCTCCAGTGTCCTGGCCAACAAATCCCCCAAATAATATTGATTATCATTCATGATTATTGGCCATTACTTCATGGCTATTTGTGGAACGTTGCTGTGCACAAGCTAGCTGTCAAAAACGGTTAATCCTGTGAAGTGCTTTGAGACATCTCAACAATGCGCTGTATTAAATGCAAGGATTATTATTATTACTTGTAATTTTTCAGTTCCAAAATATTAATGTTAAGATATCTATTTCAGCTGGTAAATTAACTGGTTAGAAAATGAGCTTTCTAAATATTGAAGGACTTGCAAGACATTTAAGAGAATAGTATTTCAGGGTTAAACTTTTTTTTAATACTTCAATCTTTCAGAGTATGATCTACGAATTCCAGCCTTCTGAATTTTCATGCATTAGTTTCAAAGTGGAGTCCTGTAGCTCAGTGGTTAGAGCATTCGCCTCGCAAGCGAGAGACCTGGGTTTGATTCCCAGCAGCGTGAAACCTTGGGCAAGTTTCCTTACTCCACATGCCTGATGATAATGCCTCAAGAAAAAAACAATAATAATTCACTCAATCCACGATTGTTTGTGGCACATTGCTGTGCGGAATTGGTTGCTGCATTTTGCGCACAAATATACAGTCAATTCACTTTACAGTATATTCTGTGAAGCGCTTTGAGACGTCTCAAAGACGTGAAAACCGCTATATCAGATGCAAGGATTATTATTGTAGACATGGTTGAAATGAGTTTAACTACAGTTGAAGGACAAATTACTCTGAATTTTACAATTGTATACTAAGCCGCTCTTTTTCTTCAACAGCAATTCAGTGGTGTTTCCGGTTGCTCATTTATGGAGTTTCTGAAGGGCAGCAGGGACTATTGCCAGGCACAGCACGGCGTCCTTGCAGACAAGTGAACTGCAGGCCCCTCCTCTTTCAACTACTCCACTAGGAAACCACCTTAAACGGAAAAGTGCCAACGACAAACTGGGATTCATCTGGATACTGGATTTCAAAATTGGATAATTCTGTGAGAAGCAAAGTACGTTTGTTCTTTCGATGACCTTCACGCCTGGATGGGGTAAACCTGCTCGATGTTTTATGTGCCATTGGCTGCTTTAAGGAGCACCGTTGCACGGAGTGACCAGCTGAAGAGTGGCAGTCACAACTGGACTTTACATCACGTGCACTTAATTCACTCGTTTGAGTCGAGGGTGTAAAAGCACAAGTGCCAGCAGTGAAAAGTAACACATTGTGTTATTTCAAAGCCTCATTTTTCCCTTTCATTTTTTTAAAAAAAATTCTTTTTGACTTTGTGGCCAGAATGAACCGTCCGGCCCCAGTAGAAATCACCTTTAATGGTATGAGATTTCTCATCACACACAACCCAACCAATTCTACCCTCAACAAGTTCACAGAGGTAAGAAAATTGGTGTTGAATATAAATATTGGATGATCAAAATTTAGTTAGGCATTGGTGCATAGTTTTAGGCTGAAATCCATATGCAATTTGGACTTAGTTCACCTTTCCATTTTGGGCTGAATCTAAAACTATCTTCAATTGCATAAAGGCCTCCTCCAACAGGTGTGAGGATGCGTTTTATGCACACAATCCAGTACTTGTGCAGCACAAAGATATACTCATTCAATATACCCAGTAAAATAGGCAAGAATTGGGGTGAGCAGGAACGGTTTGTATGGTTTGAGAAGGTCACAGAGGTAGATAGGGCAAGACCATCGAGGGATTTAAAGGTTAGGATGAGGATCTTGAACTTGATCAACAGTGGGACGGGGAGGCATCTTGATCTTAAAATTAGAGTTTAGCCTTTTTGGAGTGAAATCAGGAGGCATTTTTTCACACAAAGCATTGTGAAAATCTCCCTCAAAAGGCGGTGGATGCTAGATGCATTCAAATTTTAAAGAGTGAGGCGGATAGATTTTTGTTAGGTAAGGGTATCAAGGTATGTGGACCAAAGGCGGGTAATTGGAGTTGAGGTACAGATGAGCCATGATCTTATAGAATGGTGGAACAGGCTTGAAGGGCTGAATGGCCGACTCCTGTTCCTATGAGTCAGTGAAGCCTGGCAAGGATAGGGGTGTTTTGTCTCGCGGAACCTACATATCATTTATATATAACGTCTTGTGTTTCAAACTCAAAGTGCAGGGCACCCAGTTGGAAAATAGCTGATCCTAATCAGACCTGGGTGAATTCTAACTCATTACTTCCCACCCTCTCAAGTGTTTGTGCTGCATCTTGCCTTCTATCAAGAGATCAGATATAGATAAGACATTTGTGTCAACTGCCTGGGCACAGTGCTTTTATTTTTGTCGACTTTCTTGTGAGATTAATTCTGCTACTTAATAGTAAACGCCCTTCGGTTGAAGTCGTTTCCGTGTGTCATTTTCCTTTTTGAGCCTTGCTGTCAATGAGGTAGGGTTGAGTGGAGATGGCAGAAAAGAACATGGTGTTTATATAGTCAAGTTCATCCGTTTGACTGAATTATATAATTTCACACTGCATAATTTGTATCGAGTTTGAAACTTGACACTTTCCAAGCCGAACTTCAAAAAGAATTTTACGTCTATATCCCGCAGTCTTTTCCACAACCATCCACATGAATTGGTAACATTTGCCATTTAGATTTTGTGTAAAAATGTTTCATGTGTAATTATCAAGGCGCTGGGGATAAATTTGATCGAAAATCTGCACAATATTAATGATCCTATCTTTAAAGAGAAGGGAGATACTCCCTGTATCCTGGTCAACAATTTTTCCAGAAAAAAATTAATCGTTCACTTAATTACTGTTTGTGGGGCATTTATATGTGCATATTTGCTGCCAACGTCCTCCTACAAATTACACACAGCCACTATGGTTTACAGTGAAATCCTGTGACGTGCTTTGAGTCCTTCTGACATGAAAGGCACTGTATCAAATGTAAATATTTTTATTTATTACAGTCCAATATAACGTGTTTCGATACAAAATTCTGAAGTTGCATTTATGACTTGCCCAAAGTGCATTCAAATTCTTTTATTGATTCTTAATTATTGCAGGCAGTCGCAAACAGTTCATAGTTGACGTCTGTTGGGAACATGAGGATTGCACTCACTTAGTTTCCTAATGAATGTATTGTTCTAATAAAATACATTAAGGTTTTATTAATTGAAAGAGTTAGAATATGAAACCAAAGAGGTAATGCTTAACAAGGTTTTGTATGTCTTTATGCTATGCAGTTTTCTTTACCACCATCCATTATAATCCGGATATAGCTGAACCAAGGGAAAAAGGGAAATAATTCCCCTTTCTGCATCATATTTGCATTTCTACAAAACTAGCTTATGGGAATCTTAGTCAATTTTTCACAGATCTAATTTCAGCCATGACTCTTTGTTTGAAATGCTGATGTTTTTACTGCTTCACACCACGGACTACAGAGAGAGAACATTGGCGGTAGGGGTTGTCAGCAGATAATAAATTGCATAATACTGTATCCATTAGTAAAAGGTCACATTGACTGTTTATCTGCCACATTCAAACTTTTGTGACTACTTATTTATTAATATTTACAGAGATACAGGTTTAGATTTCCTTCAAACGTATACGATCCTCTCGGAGAAATAAACAGTTGCTGGCTCACAAGCAAGAATGACTTGCATTTATAAAGTGCCCCTCGCTCAGGGTAGCGCCCAGAGCTCTTGGCACAAGCGCAGAAACTCATCACATCCAGGTGCCACAAGCTCCCAATCCCCATTATATTAATAACTAACCTACCATGCACATCTTCATTGCACATTAATGACACAATATGACAATGTTTTTGCAACCAAAACAGCTTATAAATATATAAATATACTGCCACATTAAGTGTTGTAATATGTTGTGAATGTTGTAATATTGTGATACACCGCGTGCAGTGTGTCAAAATATTACAAAGTTCTCTGGTTATGTGCGTGTTCGCTTTAGCACGAATATACTGATGCACTATATTGGAAGTTCCTGGGTTCCAGTGCTGACTAGCTGACACCTTGTCACTGCTGACATTACTACCTGCTTGCCATGTTATAATGGAAATTCCCTTTATTAATATCTTTGAATTTATCACTTATATAATTACTATTTGTATAAATCTAGGTCACGCTATAATATGTTTTATTTTGATCGGGATAAGCCATGGCCAGTTTTTGCAAAATACACTAAAACTCTGTAACTTAGCTGAATTTTCTTTAGATAGTATTGCTTTAACATAAATCTTTATTCTATCAGGAGCTCAAAAAGTATGGTGTTACCACATTGGTTCGAGTTTGTGAGGCAACCTACGACAAGTCTCCGATTGAAAAGGATGGCATCCAAGTCTTGGTGAGTAGCTCTTCTGAATTATAACTAAGAAAAACAATATTGATTTAGCGATGTTCTGCCATTCTGTACTGTAGAGTAGTAAAATAAGGACTACCTCACTGAATTTCCACCTTAAAAGGATGTGGGGAAAGAATTGAGCAGAATTCAGTAGAACCAGAGGACATGGTCTGTGATTGAAAGGGGGTAAATTTAGAACAAATCTACGGAAATACTACTTCAGTAAGTGAGTAGTAACCTAATGGAACAGGCTCCCTAGGGAGACAGTGGAAGCAGAAAATGTCATTTGTTTCAAGAGCAAATTAGACCGATTTCTGCTAGAAAATAATATCTCAGGATAAAGTGTATAGTTTGGAACACGACTGCCAGGATGTGGAAGGCGAACTAGATGGAACTTTAGTCTTCTTTCACTTAGCAAATTCTTATGTCCTTATAATTGGTAGTAAGAATCCCAGTTTAATTTTGAAATCATATGCACTAGTTAAATAATTCTAACTGTCTTGGCCAATTATTTAACTAGTGCGTATAGGGCAGTGCGGAACCTGGTATGTATTACACCCAGCGCAATACTTTCAGATGTACCAAGCCTACAGAACAAGGTGTAGGATTGCAAAAGGCAATTTCAGAACAGAGAAGAAACATTTCTTTACCTAGATCTTAATTAATGACTGGAAAGGTTAACAGGAAGAGTTGTTTAGATAGGGACACTGGGCTTGTTTTTATATTTAAAGAAAAGCTTGATTCTGTAATAGGAGGATGATAAGATGGGTATTTTGAAAGGATGAGCTCAAGTGGAAAGGCCTTCTACATTCAGTTTTGTGATCTTGTCAGCATTTCAGCGGGAATGTGTTACACATAAGGTATCGTTCAGACTATTTTGTGTTACACATGGTACAGCGCTCAGCCTGGTATGCGTTACAAATGAGCCATTGTTTAGCCTGGTTTATATTACACAAAGGCAATTGAAAAAGCACATATGACAACATTCAGGCTGGTTTGTGTTACACGTAGAGCAGAACTTGCGCTGGGCCTATGTATTGAGCACCCTCAAGGTGAGCCCTCTGACTTATACCACATACTAGTTAAATAGAACAATCCATGACTGGCATTATAAGCATCTCTTGTCCATGAAGCTGATTGCAACTCGCTTATTAATTGTAAACCTTACAAATGATATTTATTCAGTCAAACTAGGTTATGGCAATGTTTATTGAGATTGGGTCAATTGAATATTTTTTGACTCTTCACCAATGTTGACCAAATTTTCTGTCAAAACATTATGCTTGACTTGTGCATCCTCTGCAATCTTGTCCATTCTTGCAATGATTTGAACTTTTTTTGCAGAAGATAGTGAATGTTCCTGATGTACTATGGTTAAAAACATTCTGTAGCTTTTAATGTCCATGTTATTGGACCAAATTATAATAAAATAATAATAATCTTCCAGATGCCTCAAAGGGCTTCACAGAATATACTATAAAGTGAATTGACTGTATGTTTGTGGGCGAAACGCGGCAGCCAATTGTTCACAGCAGTGTTTTGCAAACAGTCGTGGATTGAAGTGACCAATTTATTGTTTTTTTCTTGAGGGATTATTATCAGGCGTGTGGAGTAAGGAAAGTTTCCCAAGGTTTTGTCCTACTGGGAATCGAACCAAGGTCTCTCGCTTGAGAGGCGAGTGCTCTAACCACTGAGCTATAGGACTCTACAATTAATTTGCTCATTAATCAATTTCAAAAACCAATGTTTCTGGATTACTAATGGTTTCTGGTAAATGCTATGGGTTTCCGACTATGGTTTATTTGCGTATACACTAAAACTAATAGGGGGGGAGATCCAGTCCGCCAGGTGGAATTTCTGGCAAATTACGAATCTGGCACCGGCATTTTTCGGCACTTAATTGGTTGAATCCCATGAGCAGAAGATAGTGAATGAGCTATCTTCTGCTCATGCGATATAATCTGACTCATCCCTGGTCACTGTGAAGTTTGGCACGGACAGTGAGGCTGCTCAGTGCGGCAGTGTGGGCCTCGCGGAAATAGTTCTTTAAATTTTTATTTCAGATCTTGTCTGGCAAGATACGAATTCCAGCTACCCGGAGTCAGTAATCCAGGGGTTTACTGTATTTTCAGCCCTTTCATTTCCATAGTCTGATTCAACTGATTGATAATTCCTGCAAAACATATTGTGTGTGCTGAGAGATGCAAAGTACCTGTAGCAATCGAAGGGTTATTTGCTGAGTCCTGTAGTTTGCATGCAGAAAACGTTGCCTGCACACGCAAAGAAGTGACGCGCTCTCACAAGGATGTGTATCTGCATGTTGTAGGAATTTGAATGTTTCTTGATTTTAAAATTTGTGGCTTTTTTTTTCTATCTCCACTTTCAAAAAAGGCTCCGTTCAGAGCTTTTGCTGCCGCTTGGGAATGTTGAACCACCCAGTTCCATCAATGCAATTTCCTGATGCAAATATTTTTAAACTCGTATGTTACAAGGAGCAGCTGCTGAGGGATACAGCCACCTGCCTTTTTTCCAACTTGTTCTTATTAAACAAATCTGTGTGGTCTCATTGATACTTGTGTAAATGTGTCTTTTCTGCTGTCTAACAAGCTAATTGAAGTATTTTTTTTCAACATCACCTAGTGAAGATTTGAATCTGTGCTTGTCGGACATCAAATGACCAACCAGTTTCTAACTTATGTGAGGTGATCTGTTTGGCAACTGAACGTAAGAATTGAGCCAACCCTCTGTGGCAGTCTCGGTAGTGCAGTTCCTGAGCCAGGTGGGTCTGCAGTACTCCAGGGCACTGTTGATGACAACACAGTCAGCCTGGCTCATCGATGGGACTTGGAAGGGCAATCCAGTCACTGGGGCCAGGGAATCATCTCACTCAGCTTCCATTAACTCTGCAAGCCAAAGTCTTAACTAGTAGCTGGTCCTAGCTGGATAAGCAGTGGAAAGTTTGCCAGGCAGTGTTCTCAACGGCAAGCTCTGCGGTTTTAGCTGGTTAGATGCCAGCAGTACACTAGTGCAGACTCTTGCGTCTAATACTCTCTGGAATCAGGTAAGTGGGGTGTGTCCCTCTGGGTAGAACTGCTTTCCATTCCAGCGGCGGAATTTCCATGTGTAGGTGGCTTGCATGAAATTCTGGCTTGGAGACTTGAGTACAGTAATGGGAATCTGCACGTGTCCGACACCTGGCTGACAAAAAAAAAATCAAGAGGACGGAGAGTGGATTGAGACCTTCAGTGCTCATGACATAGATCTAAATTTATAAATGCCTGTTCCAGTAAAATACTGTTGTACTGCTTGGACATTTTCAGTGCTTATACATAAGGAAATCTGTCTACAGCAGATTACCAGATTTCAGTTACTCTTCATTAATTTAACACTGGAAATCTGACTATACATCTGTTAAAGCTGCATCCTTCTGGTGCGATAGCTCCCATCAAGGCATCTAGCTTTCAGTAACCCAAATATTTTGCTTCCATTTCTTGGCAGATAGTTACAAATGTTACCTGATATTTGGTGTAAATTTACCATTTATTTATTTCCACTTGTGTTTGTGGTGCGGTGAGTAAACAAACATTTCCAAGTATGGTTGCAACAGTACCTCTAAACTTTAGTACCTAAGAGATAAAACACGTTCGATTTTCAAAGGAGGGCTCCTGCTGTTGCAGTATTACAAAATGATAAGAAAATCTTAGCTTATGGAACAAACCTAAAGTGCCATATTTCTCAAGATTTTCTTTTGTGCAATTTTATATTTCATTTGAATCAGGAAATTAAGTTCTAATCATTTTCTACTCCTCCCAGCAGTAGAATACAGAGCAAAATTGGTAGAGCCCCAGAAATCAGAATGCCGTGGGCTTTGGCTGTGATGTGGCACAGGGGAACAAAACTATCTTCAGTCTTTCTCTCAAAGTCAAAAAAAAATTAAAAAGCCAAACTGACCAAATTAAGAAAGCTTTGGCAATATTTATATTATTATTATAAAGCAGGATTTTAATTAAATCCTCAAAAATCAATACTTTTTTGTCATATACGCTCTGTTTTTATTTTAAGAATTGATTGAAAGGTTAGTATACATTACAGTATCTTGCAAAGGTATTCAACATGCAAGGCATTAACTAACAAAATTCTTGGAAGTTAAATGGTCATGTATTTTTAAGTTGCATTAACACTATTTTCCAGTTCAGCCCCCCCACTCCCCCCCACTGTGTTCTCTGCACTTCCCTTCTTGAAAAAGTTGCTGAATTGTTGATAGCTGATTATAGCTGATTGAAATGGAATTTCAGGTCAATGCCATTTTTTTTCTATCGGGCTTTTGCAGTACATTTGAGTGGGAGTCTGTTCATGACGTCTATTCAGTAGTCTCCTTGGAATGACAGAATAAAGGAAAACTTGAAAAATTACTGACAGTCTTTGAAAAACATTTTTTTTTTACTTTAGGTGTACGCTGATTCATGCACTCACAAAACTGTTAAAAATTAAATGTGGCCAATTTACACAAACTATATTCTATATATAGTGCAGTGAATAAACCTATAATCTGCTAATGCTCAGGAATCGCACATCAACCAGTAATCAGCTTCTGCCAGCTAATGGCATGCTGTACTGTGATTTGTGCCTCAAAGGGATAAAATACACTTTCTGAAAATATTTTTCTGTGTTTCTCTTCCCCTCCCCACCCCCTTTCCCAGCCACATAAGTACTGCAGAATAAGGAATTATAGGAGTCATTTTTTGCTTCATTGTATGAAAGAATTGGTATTCTGGGAATGGTCAATGGTTTGAATGTACCCTCTGTCAAATTAGATTTATTGTTATAGTTTGACATGAAGACAGATGTTGCCTTAGAATGCGCTGCCAGCTGGATATTGCATGTTAACAAGTCTTGAAATGCATAATCCTGGAAAGGAACATTGCTGTCTATCTGGTCAGTTCTAGAAAAATACATGTGCAGAACTCTGTTACACCATTAAATTGCTTAATTAGTCAAAAGTTGACTTGGTTCATTGTTTAACCACAGTGTTTAATATGTCCACCAATGTTTGAAAGTGCAATACATTTGGTAGTTGAATTTCTGGTCAGACTGGTTCCAATTCCCTCAGAATTTTAATACTCACTGACTAGTTAACTTATCAAAGTACTAATGCCTGTGGAAGTAAATAGCAGCATAAATTGCATTTTCAGGCAAGGTGTTCAGAACATGGAAAGGAGTGGGGGGAGAAGAGAGGAAAACTATATTTAAAAAAAACTGCATCTGTATTGCTTTAGCCTTTAATTAAAATTCCAGCTTCCAAAATTAACACTTACATTTAATTAAGTGGATGAAGTGGCCATCCTTTATTCCCCTTTTTGCCAATGCTTTGACATTTTCAGTTGAACTTGGAAGCTCTTCCAGTTTTCACTTTGCAATATTGGTTCAGGAATTTGTAACTAATGCCACTTGAATCCAGTGGGGGCAGAGCCACGATACACCACTGAGCTGATCCTCTTTACCTTTTACAGCATTGAATGTCATCCTGGATAGTGACCATGCCTGTAGTAATGTTGTTGGTAAGCCAAATCACACTCTCTGAACATTGAGTTAATCTAGCTCTCCCTTTGTCTGAACAGAGATAGCTTAATTCTGTGAGTCATTTTTACCGTATATTCCTTTCCATGATCTACCCAGTGATAGTGACGTCTTGTGCTTAACATCTGTGCGAAGCAGTTCTTGCAGAAAAGCTTCAAATCTTGTGAAGGAGAGGGCATTTCTCTATTCGGTCTGTTAGTTTATACCACTTACGTTAAGATATATCACAAGATCATGAAGGGTTTGCATGAAGAATGAACCACTGCCCATTTGGTCATTCACTTTGTAATGGTTGCTACGTTTGCAAGTAGTCCCTTCTCTTCAGAAGGAATTACACTGTAAATCCTGTGAAGCACTGAAATGTTTTGATGACATGATAAGGCGCTAGATCAAATGCACGGATTATTTTAACTAATTGCATTTATATAATGACTTTCAGGTAGGATATCATCTGTTTTATTGATCATGGCGGAGTAGGGTAGTGACTAAGCTTGGGTTAATCGGGTAGGGGCTTTTAAATACAGCAACAATTTGCATTGATATAGCTCCCTTCAGGCAGTTTCACAGAGCGCTCAGAATCCTGATAAAGAGGAGAAGGTTTGACTTAACAAGGGATATCCACAAACTAGGGGTATGGTGGCTGGAGGCTTGACCAGTGCTGTGGTAGAGGGGATAAAGAATCCAAGTAGGCCTGAGTTTCTTGGATGGATGAAGGGGGTGAGTAGGACTGAGTGTGAGAAGGTCACATAGCTAGGGAGGGTGTGAGGAAGTACAATTTTGTAGGTTAGCGTAGTGATCTGAGAAGGTCTGCTGGAAGGCGATGGAGCTTGGCGAGGATGGGGCTGAGTGGGTGAAAATATGAGTGGCCACTCTTTAGGGTTAGGTGAACTGAAGCTTGTGGATGTGGAGCTGGAGAGGCTGGTGAAGAGTGCATTATAGATGGCAAGGTGATAAATGGGCTTTGGTTAAGGGGTTTGGATCACATTGAGCATGAGATAGGGACTGAGACAAGGGAAGGCAAATTAGTAATTGTCAAATGGGAGAAAAAAATTAAAATATCCAGGAAACAGTAATTAAAAACAGTAAGTATTCTTATATAGAAATTTTCGGTAATTGTAACTAATCATAAATTAGGGACTAGCAGAAGGTTATGTTCTCGGAGCTTACTGGTTCAATGCCTGGTCTATGCTGAGCTTGCTAGCCTCAGTTGGAGCTGCGTGGAGAGGCTAAATTGGTTCCAACTTTCCCAGGTTAAGAGAGAGTAAAATCAGCGTTCTACTGCTTGTCTCTGTGACAGCCAGGTGAGGAGAGGGGATGATTCTCTCTACAGTTGAGCAACCAGCTCATGCTCACTGCTAACACTTGCTCGTGAGTAATGGCAACTTGGATGGCATTCCAATGGGCAACTAAGCCTCAGCAAGAGGAGGCCGGGGACCAGGAACAGAGAGCCACTGGAGGAGAAAATTAGAAAAATAAATAATGAATATTTTGATGCAGCACCTTCCACGTCAGGAGATGATCTCAAAGTGATCACAGGGTTTAGTATAAAGTATAGTAGCTGTATTTTGCAGGTGAACACGACAACTAATTTGCACACAGCAATAATAGAAATATTTTTGAAACTGGCTTGGCTCACCTTAGACAGAAAATCACAACCTGCTGTGTGTGTAGTTCCCTTGTGCAATACATACAGTTTTGCTGAACTGTGGATTTCAATACTTCCTTGTACAGTGTATATTTAGTCAAATATGTGCTTTTAATATAGTTAATGCATATTCAGCAGATTCATTGGGAAAGCCAGAAGAAAGGCTCAAATGATCGAATGAAGTTAGATGGATGGCCTTTTCATGCTGACATGTTGCTGAAAGGAATGGATAGTATTAAACTCTGGCCTGTTTTAATGCATTGATGCAGTGGGAAGAGAAACCGCTCATTGATTCAACCTCTTTGCTCTTGTCCTCTTTGCTGAGGCAGGAAAATATCACAGCATTGAATTAGATTACTTATCCAATCATTCCTTAATAGTTTCAAGAATTGTACCAGTTTCTAAATTGGGATATTCCTAGAAATCATCCCTCCTCGCACCCCATCAAAAATCACTTCACATCTAATAATAACTTGCATTTATGTAGTGCCCTTTACGTGTGGTAGTGTTTCAGAGCGCTGAACAGAGGCAGACTTTGAGCCGGGAAGAAAGGGACACTGATCATAGGTACAGTCAAAATGGAAAGTGTTCAAGTGCGATTTGAAGATTGTCATGAATTGAGGCTGCCTGCTTGTGTTTGGTACGTCATTCACAAACTCAGGACCAGGATTCAGTTTCTGCTTACTTAAAACCATGCAAATACTAAACTAACTGAGGGCTTCTTCGTAATCTGGGCTGTGATCCAGCACTTTAAATAGTAGCCGTATTCTGATTCTTGACTGCGTGTTACAGAGCATTCTTTGTACCTAGTTCCAGAGTGATCGTATTAGCTCAATGTGAGTGAGTGTGCCATGTAAAAGATACTCAGAGCGACAGAGTCGCACTCGTTGGTTCTAGTCTCCTAGCTAAGTATTTAATGCTGTCAGTTTTGTTTTTAATATAATTATTAGCAATTGAATCTACCAAGTACTTCAGTGCTAATATGTTCAACTGTAATTCACAATCTATTATCATTCTATTACAGGAATAATTTCTGTAAATTTCTTTAGTGAATGTTATCACAAGTATCACGTGTTTGACTCTGTGGTGCTCTGCCTGAGCTGCACAGTTAGTTGCATGCTTCAAATCCTTCAACTGTAGGATTTTTCTGCTTCAATACATCTGATTACACTTTCTATTAGGGATATCTCCTCAATAGTAAATTTATGCCATCGCTAGTAAATTGTGTGATATTTCCAAGAAAATCCTGCTTTGGTGTGGGCAGATGATAACTCATTACATTTATAATAAATAAATAATAATCCTTACATTTTCTAGACATTTCAAAGCGCTTCACACAATATACTATAAAGTAAATTGACTGTTTTTCTTTTTATATGTGTGGGGAAACGCGGAAGCCAATTGCGCACAGCAGTGTCCCATAAACAATCATGGATTTATCAGTTAAGGCTTCAATATGTGAGAGAGAAATAATGGCTGTCGCAATGTGTTGCTGTTAACAGATGTAATTCTTAATAGATGACCATTTTGGCTCGCAGTAGCTGCTGTGTTTTCATGATGCTTATTTTCACACTTGCTTGTGCGCAGTGGGGTTGGTCAATTAATGGAGATAACATTGATTCAGTATTTTTGCATCAAATTGATGCTAAAATTTTAGTATAAATAGGGTTCAGAATACATTGATTCAGTTATAAGGGGATTTGACCTTGTACACTGACTGTATGAACATGATTTTACTATATGTAATTTTAAAAGAACTTTTAAACAATCTTCATTAAATCTTTAATAATTGCTGCTGTTTAGTGGAGCTCTTTGAATATGCTGAGTTGCATGTACACAAATCTCTCCTATACTCTTTAACAATTATGGAAATATGAGTGCCTGTTCTCTCTTTGAATCACTACTGTTGGAACTGAGTCACATTACTTCTAGAAGTATAAGTGAGATCTGTGATCGAGGACACTGTCTGTTTTTTAGTTACTTTGAAGAGCCAATATACTCGGCTGTTGGGATTATCATTTATAAAAGCAATATCCCAAGTATGAGAAGATGACTGCAGCGGAAGGAGTGCAGTCGTCTTAAATCCTAGACACCTTTAAAAGGGCAAATTATAAAATGCACATTACGATACAGATTGACAGTGGCGTTGCTCATCTTATTGTGGTGATATTACAGAGTTGTCAGTCTGGCTCAGTTAGTGGTGCAGTCTCCTGTGAAAGCCCCACATTGGGACTCGAGTTCATAGGCTAAATGCCTTTTGATTTAGGATTTGAGGATAATTTGGTTTTATCTTAATTGTACATACAATCTCATTTTGGTTTACATTTTTTGCTTTGACCCGTGTTAGCACTTCTGGTGTACATATTGATCTCAAACCAGCTCTTCACTATACAGTGTTCATCTGTACCTGGATAGACCAATCGTTGCAATAAGGAAAGCTTCATGTGTTTGTTTCTGTTTGAGAAGTGCTAAATAAATGCAAGTCGATACTGGTGTTTATTATAATCCATGCTGAGTGAATCTTATCATTTATATTGTATTTTAGGATTGGCCCTTTGATGATGGTGCCCCACCCCCTACTCAGATTGTGGATGACTGGTTCAGTCTGTTAAAATCAAGATTCCGTGAAGAGCCAGGATGTTGCATTGCTGTGCACTGTGTAGCAGGATTGGGACGGTAAGTCACATTTAGTTTACGTATACTATATTGAGTTGACTTTATTTAAACTTGTGTCCTTGGCATTGCTAAAAGTGGGAATAGGCGATGGTGATACTCGTGTTTATGTGTGTGTGTGTGTGTGTGTGTGTGTGTCTCTCTCTTTCTTGCTCTTTCTCTCATACACCATGGTACTTTGTCATATTTATTTTTCAGTGGGCATGTAGGTCCTTAGTTAATTAAATCATGTGTATAAGATGATGGTCCAGGCTGGTCTGTACTGAGTTGATTGATAGCTGTAGTGTCCGAGCCTCGGTGTCATGGGACTGAGAAAGGGGAAATCATCCAAGGTGCCTGATCACTATCCAATGGCCCATGATGAAAAATTTGTGTAGCCTGTTGACATGTACTTATTGGCTAGGCTCACCTGATAAAGTCCTTGAGGATACTTGAGTGTAAGTCAGTGTCTCCAAGAAAACGAAAACAAAGGCATGAGGGGTGACCTTGGATATGGCTTACCATTCTATGAATCCTGGTCCTGTGCCAATTGTTCCAGTTTTTTTTAAACAACTTATTTTCGAGTTTGAACTCTTTCACACCTGATGCCTCTTTTCAAAACAGCCTGCCGGAGATTGTATCAGTGTATTAGTGCATAGCCATCAAGTAATGAGCTGCCCTTGCCTCGTGAATTTCTGATCTTGGTGAGTTATTGACTAGTTTCCCCATTGAGATGATATAATAATCCTTGCATTTGATATAGCGCCTTATCACGTCTTTGAGACGTCTCAATGTGCTTCACAGAATATACCATAAAGTGAATTGACTGCATATATTGTGGGTGAAATCTATGAATATTGTAATCTAAGGCTGTGTCATTTGACCTGCCTGCATGGATCCCTCCTGTAGGCTGGCATTTGCTGTCTGGCTTCAAGTTGTTTTCTCTCCCAATTCCATTGAGTATTGGAGTACATTTTGTAAAAAAAACAATACCGAACATGAACACCTGTTTAGATTAAGACAGTGGATGTGCTGGGAACCATTGGTACATTCAGACCAACAGATATCTGACCAGTTCTGTCTTTGCCCCCTTAATGACAATGGTACCAGGTTTTTACCGTTTGATTTCTTTGGGGTGTCTGAGGATTTGGAAGAGAAGTCACCCTTGCAATTGTTGCATTAGCCCATAATACATCCCAGCGTCTGTGTACCATAGAACCACAACCTCAGTCACTTGCATTGAAGAATCTATTATCTGGTGCAGATGAATGAGAGGGCAAAGAGAATGGACGGGGAAGGAACAAAGTATTCTTGAACACTGATTTGTTCTTGCACATGCTTTGTTTTCTTTGGAAACAATGGAGATATTGCTCATCAGATCACTTGAGAAGTATATTTAATCTTTTCTAAGTATTATGTATACATTTTGAAAAGTCAAAGGAAATGCCAGCCATTGCTGGTGATATTTACATTATTTTACACAACTTGCGCAGACAACAGGGCTTCTGTCCTTTCTCCTCTGAAGTAGCTGCATGTCTCCCGAAACAGAGGCATTGTTGCTGCTGACTTCTGATCTAACTTGCACAATAATAAGCAGCTCATTTATCTGACCTAGCACTCAAATTCTAAGACACAAAACTCTGATGGAAGGGTCGTACTCTGTTAGCCCATCACTTACTTTTGGATTGACCTATTCGATTTCGCCCCCACCCATTAATTTTTGTTTGAGATTTCCAACTTTTTTTTTAAAAAAATATTTGCTTCTACAATATGAATTTATACTTATGGTAACTGCCTTCACGTTGGGAGGTTGCCCAAGATGGTTAACAGTACTGGAGGCTGGGAGCCGAGGTGGGTGGGGAGGAGAAAGATAATTTAAAGCGGGGGTCAAAAAGTTCCTTCTTGAGATAGACTTTGAACGAGTTGAAGGAGGGAGCGTGTTGTGGGACTACGGGATGGAGTTCCAAAGAGTGTAGAAGAAAGGCTAATATCTAATGAATTGATTTTGCATTCTGTAGAAAGTTTAGGAAATCCTGACTATGCTTCACCTTACACAATGTTTTATTTTACCTAGTTATACATGGGCATTGACCCAGTGCAGTAGCAACCAATGCATTCTAGATCCAATGTGTTGTGCAACAGCATGACAGATGCTTACTTGTAATTACACACAATAAGTTCCTGATTTCAGCTAAGCTGTTGTATGTGACGAGGTGCTGTCCTGTGAAGAGCAGTCGGCAAAGATGATTATTTCATACCTTATAGCAGCTTGGTTTTATGCAATTGCGTTCGAACAATTTTCCATTCTGTCAGGAGCTACAGGGGAGAAGACTTAGATGCACAATGGAGTTTGCAGAAGCTGAATCACCAGTAAATTGAACTTGTGTTACATCCTCTTCACGGGATTAGAAATTGTACATTGTATGAGACTTTTTTCTGATTAACTGCCAACTACCTCACTAAGCTATGTTTTTATTCTTTTGACCATTTTCTCTCCTGCGGGTCTGAATTCTTCAGCCTCCCTGGGCTCTCCCTCAGACTCACCGAACCTGTGTGCATCTTGGGCTTCAGGTTCGATCCCCAGCTTTCCTTTTGTACTCCACTGTCCTTCCCCGACCAAGACTGCTTTTTTCCATCTGCGTCACATAGCCCACATCTATCCGTATCTCACAATCAAAACAGCCAAAACCCTTGTCCATGCCTTTGTCACTTCCTGGTTGGACTATTCCAATGTCCTCCTCGCTGGTCTCCCCAGCGCCACCATACACAAAATTAAATTAATTCCAAACTTCGCCGCCACAGCAGTTACTGTGAAGTAGAGTGACTGTATTTGTAGGTGAATCCCACAAACATCCATGAAATGAATGACTTGATTTTTATCTGGACATCAGGAGAAACTCCCTTCTCTTTTCGAGTAGTGCCATGGGATCTGTGACGTCCACCTGAACAGGCAGACGGGACCCCAGTTTAATGTCTCATCTGAAGGTTGGCACTTCGAACAACGCAGCACATCCCCAGTACTGCACTGGAGTATCAGCTTAGAATTTGTGAGTTCAAGTGGATTCAACTCACAATCGTTTGACTCGGAAGCAAGAGTGCAACCAACTGAGCTAGGCTGACACTGGTGGCAGCGTGCGACTGCCATCAGTTCTTACATCTACAACTACAACTGTCAGTAACATTGAGGGATCACTTAATACCTACAACCACTGCAATTACAGATAGTATTTTACACTTGACCATCTCATTACATATTGATCGTGAAAAATTCAGCCTTATCTTGTTGAAGTAAAGGATGAATGACACTATTGTTTCTTACCTTTTGTCCCAATTGGGTATTTCTGGATTTCCACAAAGGTTTAAATTCACCATGAAACCTTTTCAGTCTCGCTGAGCATTTGCACCATTCACTCCACAGTGCGCCAGATATATAATGCTTGTATAATCCTTTGTTACAGGTTTAACACCATTCTCTGACATTTTTAAAGATTGATAGTGCTGCTGCTGTTTTTATAAAGGACACCATGTGTAGGGCGGGAGCAACTTAGTTAATGTTCTGCTAGTGATTGGATAATGAATTTGGCTTGATTTATGGAATTTAATCGTACTTTTTGGTAAGCATTTTTTTTAAACCATCCTCCACAAACCACAGGATTAAGTTCTCATTGGATCTGGATTGCGGGGAGATTTCTTAAGAAGGAACACCTCCCCTTTTAAGAAATTCCTTTTCCACCAAATGATTTCTCATGTGACTCCCTGCTGTGTACATAACTTGAGTCCTCGGCGCTGCTCAGTTTGCTTTGTGTCAAAGCTCAGATTTCAAGCTGTGAATCACAATGAAGCTTTCAAAAGACAGAAAAATGACTCGGGGGGTTGTAAGAAACCTGTGTTTCAAGTACCTTGTAAAGTGCGCTTCGCCTTTACAATACCTGGAAATGATTATCGTTGCTTCCAGTCATGATGGCAAACATTGAAACACTTTAAAGAATTTTTCAATCATAAAGTCCATTCCCCAAATCAGTGTTGATTCTTCAAGTACACCGTCCCTTACCGAGAATATTCCTGCTCCCTCATTTTTAGTGGAGGTTCTGAGGTAAAGAAGCCCACCGAGCCCTTTGTTGTTTTGCAGCCAGTGCACAGAATTTCACAATTCACTCGGGTCTAAATGCAATGAGTGCCTGCCAGTGAGTTGCACCTGCTGGACACAGTACGGTTGGGACGTTGCCTGACACATTGTATAGCGACAAAGAAATGACTTAAAAGGGGAGTTATTTGAAAATGTCCAATTGCAGTGTGAACCCTATAATGTATAGACGATGTATAAGTACTCTACAGGTAAGTAGCCTTACCTATTGGTTTTCAGGTATTTTTAATATGGTCTGCTGAATTAAAAACTGGAATAAGTTAGCAATTTTCGCTCGTCTCTTCAGCCCGTCTTGTTCAGAATGAAGTTGCTGACTTATTTTTCTTTTTCTTGTATTGCAGAGCTCCAGTTCTCGTTGCACTAGCTTTGATTGAGTGTGGAATGCTGTATGAAGACGCAGTTCAGTTTATACGACAGTAAGTAAACTGTACAAGGCTGCAAAAGAGAATCTATCGTTTTCAATTTAGTTAACTGACATAGTCCTTCCTGGACATTTTTAATGCAGAGCTTAAGAATGCAGTTAGTACTTTTCACTTGTTTATTTTATTACGTGCAAGTACGAGAACTCTTTTTTTCATTTAAGGAAAAGACGTGGAGCTTTTAATTCAAAGCAACTACTTTACCTCGAGAAATATCGGCCAAAAATGCGTTTGCGCTTCAAAGACGAAACCCCCAGCTGCTGCATCCAGTAGAGATTGCCTCCGGATTGTCAACACCCTGGTGAAGTGAACACAGAAATCGAGCGATATCCACGACGTGGTGAAGTCGGGACTGTTCAATCTTGGAAGCGAATTTTTAACAAAATCTTGTGTCTTTGTGGTGAAGGAATTGTGTATTTTTCATATTACGATCGATCTTATCAGGGAGGTGTTGCATCTTAAACGGTCTGTAATGAATTCATTGCCTCTGTGTAAAAGAGGCTGAGATTATGTCTGTGCAAAACTCCGCTGTCATCTTTTGTAAAACTCATTAGCGTTGCACAAAGACTTCCTGAGGATATGGTTCGATGCAATAGTTTATCCCTCTGGTAACAGCAGGCAGGAGAAATAAAAGATGAAATCTGGCACTGTAATTGTATTGTATTTGATTTCTGGACATTGGTAATGCCAATTTTTGAGAATAATCTCTGTTTTGGTGTCAGTTTTTTTTAAAGAAAGAATTAAATCTGTACAAATGTCTGTAATTTTAGGTTTTCTTAAACAATTTTTCACCAGAAACACTGAGGTCATTTCTGTAGAACTCCTATGTAGTGACAATCTTCACCATTATGTGTGCAAGATTACCAGGCTGCAGGACCTCTGTGAGTTAGTATTTTCTGGAGTTAATTGTTGAGTTCCAGCACTGACTGAGATCTCAAACTATACGTGAATTGTGTGTGTGTGTTTGTGTGTGTTGAGAAAGAAAGAGAGATGAGTTCAGTCGTCTTCAGCTGGTTTAACTACACAGAGTTTCTCACTTCATAGCAGAAATAGTGACTTGACGCACTTGACTGCGGTTCCAGCGTCTGCCTTTGGTGAACTGGCACACCAGATAAATGTCACAATTGGTAGGTTACTGCTGCACTTATGGCAGCAAGGTTATTAGGGGGTATACTTAGGTTGAACCAATTTTATATGCGCATTCATCTAAAAACATTGCGGTAAAGTACTCGACTGCATTGTTCTTTGGAGATGAGAGCAGAAACGCCCATCTTTTGGTCATGAACAAGCAATTTTTTTTCAGTGGTTAAAATAGTAAGTGGGATAAGAAGACACAGCAGTATGTCTGGTCTAGTTGGCAGTGGGGGGGTGGGGAGGTGAAGTTTTTTTTAAAAAAGGTGGAAACTGGCAAAAACGCCCCTTAATGATTTAGTCGATATAGTGAATCCATTTAGCACTGCGATTCCAAGTTCTAAAATCCAGCAGCAGCCATGCAAATTGTGAACCATGTGTCCACTAGAGAGGAAGCTAAATGTGAATGAATGCTGAGAATCGTGTTTCCATGTCAATTTAAACATACAATTACTGGTTGCCTACTGTGAAAGCTTCCCGTTTTGTGCACATTCTTGGGTTGGAGCAGTGAATGCCCCTAGAATCTGCAGAATTGCCTATTTATAGATTTAATTATCTATCTTGCAGTGAGATCATTCAAATTGCTTCAAGAAAACAAAAACAAAATACTAGGCTTATTATTTTTTGCTCTCAATTTAGCGAATGGCCAGGAATATTGCGAGGACACATGTCAAAAGCGCCTCATCTGTTCTACAGGAGGGAGGAAAGATCTCGTATAGAGGAGTATTCTCTTCATTTTTTTGTCCAGTGGTACTTTGTTTTTTAACGTGCTCTTTCATCTTCCCACACCACCTCTTTCCATTGATCTCTTATCTATCTATTTAAGATGTTTATTCTCTGAGCAGGTACTTTCATTCAGGGTATCACTCCCGGATGGTAAAATAGGTGTGCCAGCAGTGCAGCGTAAGCAGTGCAGAAGCTTAGGAAAACAGGTTTTTGTTGGCAAAGTTATGTCCATTCTGTGGGTCGCGGCTTGCCCAAGAGTCTACACCATTGCTGGGGTTAACGTGCGCACTGCATGCACAGGTGAGACTTTGCAGAGTGGTTTTGCAATGTTTTTTTTATAAATAAAAATACTTTCCTATTCAACTCTAGTTGGTACTAATTTCACGGCAAGAAAACGTGACAAAATGAGACACTTCATTAGGATTACTTTGCTGCCTGCCTTTTTCTTTGCCACAAAACCAGGTAACCACCAATAGCTAGTTTAAATGACTGTTGTTTGAACAATGAATACCCTACTACCTGAACTGCTGCCACCCACTACCTGAGACTCATTTCCTCTCCGTTTGTTGGCAGCTGCCAACTTCCCCTACTTAAACAGATAATAATGATCACATGTTCAACATCTATGAAAGGTACCAGTAAATTCTTTGTTTGTGTAATTCTGGCTCATGCTATACCGATATATATCTACTGTAGTGGTTTGTGAGGCAAACAAAACCCAACTGGATAGATATCTAAAAACGGGTAATTTACAGAATTGTGGGGAAAGGGCAGATAAATGGGGATGGATTGATTGGTCTTTCAAAGAGACAGTACACACAATGGGCCAAATAACGAGTGCTGTTATCTGTTGTATGAAACTGAACAGCTCAAAGTTGAGAACTGACCAATTTGATCAGTTAATACCTGACTACTAATCTCAACTGCAAGGATTATTATTACTATTGTCTTGTTTGTAGGTTTCAAACAAGTATTATGGTCTTGTAGTGTTTTAAACCCGATTCAACCATACTTGTGTCCCTTCTCATTTGATGATTATATAACACTTAATATAATCTGAAAAATGTTAGCTGTTTGGTGTACGTTTTTAAAAAATATATTCACATCCTTCACATTAGGGCTGGTGAAGAATGTTCTGATCCAAGTGAATCTCATTTTGTGTCTTAATTTACAAATCATTTTAAATTATTTATCTGAGCAAATGGGCTATGATGAATGAATTAAATTAATCTTTACAACCCTAAAATAAAATGCAAACAGATCATGCCTTAATTACAGCACAATGACTGTCTGAATTCTGATTCTACCTGGTCCATATTCACGTGCAATTAAAACAAAAACTTTCATTTATGTAGCGCCCCTCACACAGGGTAGCGTCCCAGAGCGCTTGACGGTGTCAGAACACGACACTGAGCTGGGGAGGAGGTGACCGTAGACGCGGTCGAAGAGGAAGGTCTTCAGGTGCGATCTGAAGATGGAGAAGGCAAGAAGTGGGATTGAGGGAGAGTGCCCCAGAGTTTTGGGGAGTAGTGACTAAAAGTGCGGCCACTGATGGTGGAATGGAGGACATGAGGGACAAGCAGGCGGTAGAATGGACCACAGTGTTTTTTTTTAACATGTTCAAAGCTGTTATTCGTAGTTTGAAGCATCTATAAGGCCCATAAAGCCTAAACCTTTGTTGCAGGGAAGTTACCAATTGGGGCTGTTAGGCAGTGTGATGGAGGAAGGAATACAAATCCATAGAGAAGCTTGCCCAACTGCTTGCTGTAAGGTACACATTGTATTGCCTGATATGGTTTAAAGTTTGTAGCCAAACTATTATATTCCATGTCTCTGAAGCAGGTCACCGCGGGGAGCATTAGGAGTGAGGAGATATGGAGGCTTTATGAGCATGTGCTTCAAAGGACCTGGGTTAAATAAATCTGGCTGTGCTTTCCATCTCGATGTAAGATGGTTTTATTTGGGCGAAAAATTTTGAAACCACATTTTGTCCTTTTTGGTAGAAATTGAGCACCTACCACATTCTGCCATGTGGCAATGCACAGAGTGTTAAATTATGATTTTAGCTTCATAGCGGACATGCCTGTTTGCCAAGGCCCCTCATGTGAGGACTCAGCTGACGCACCCCATTGGACGTAGATCTTGAGAACATCAAGGTGACTGGCACGTTGCAAGATATGCTATAAAGGTCTACCCACTACGCTGAAGCCAGATGTCCACCAGATAGCTGATGAGGACACTGAGGCTTGGCCTGCAGAGGTAGTAACCAGCTGATGCTTAAGCGCCGCATCTTCAACTGGTGGAACCATCACTCAATGGGAAGGAACGTGTGTCAGAACTGCGGACAGGAAGATGGTGGCAATGCTCTCACAGGTTTCATACCGAGCTGTGTTGCCCACCAGGAAGCTCGTAGGGAGTTCTTGGTGCCTAACATTCACCTAGTGGCGGCTCAAACCCACACTTGTTGAATAACCTAACTAGTGACTCCTTAACTCGTCTTCCTTATGTGTTTTCTCCATCACAATATAAGAAGCTTGTACACGTTTCAGTATGGCAACTATTTGCATGAAAAGTAGAATTGAGTTCAAACCATTAATTTTAATGATAGATTAGTAAAACTAGGATATTATAAGAACATAAGAATTAGGAGCAGGAGTAGGCCATTCGGCCCTTCGTGCCTGCTCCGCAATTCAATAAGATCATGGGTGATCTTCTCACCTAACTGATTACCTGCCCTATCCCCAAATCCCCTAATCCCTCTATTTTTCAAGAAACTATCAGTCTCAGCCTTAAAAATGTTCAAGGACTGAGCATCTACAGCCTTCTGGGGTAGTGAATTCCATAAGTTCACTACCCTCTGAGTGAAGAAATGTTTCCTCAACTCTATTCTAAGAGGCTGACCCTTGATTTTAAGACTGTGACCCCTGGTTATAGATTCTCCTCCAGGGGAAACAGTCCCTCTGTGTCTACTTTATCAGCCCTTTAAGAATCTTATAAGTTTCAATAAGATCCCCCCTAATTCTTCTGTACTCTAGAGAATACAGCCCCGGTTTATTCAGTCTATCCTCATAGGTCAGTCCCCTCATCCCAGGAACTAACCGAGTGAATCTACGCTGCACCCCCTCGAGGGCAAGTATGTCCTTTTTTAAATGAAACTAAAACTGCACACAATACTCCAGGTGCGGTCACACCAGGGCCCTATACAGTTGCAGCAAGACTTCCCTACTCTTATATTCTAAACCTTTTGAAATGAACGCTAACGTGCTGTTCGCCTTAGTTGCTTGCTGATTATTGCTTATAATCAGGTGCTGGTTTGGGAAATTCACAGACACACATGTAGGTAGATTTCAAAACCACTTCAGCACTGATTCTGGGGCACTCGATTTATTTTCTTGCGACACAATTGCCTCAGGGCTTGCATACTACCAGACTTCTGGATTTGGATGCTGAAAGAGATGCACATGACAAATGATCGTTCGTTTAACTACTGGTCTCACTATTTCACACTCATCATCAACAATTACAATCAATTTTCTGTCATTTAAAAAAATATTAACATCATGAGAGGTGCTGAATTATAAATTTAAATCATGTTTGTCTTCAGAAGATCGCATCTTTTAAGTGTCAAATGTTAGGGGAGTAAAATGTTTAATGTGGGTTTTGAACTAGGCTGCAGTCTTTTTGCTGTGGCTTTTTGTCGACATCTTGAGGCTGATGCATGCATTTTGAATCACCTGAAAAATGCAGGCTTTTATTTGGAAAATACAATTTATTTCTGCGCTGCATCTTTTCTACC